AGAAATGACACACTCTTTAAATCATGGCCGTATTTATGCATATATATGCGCAGATAGGTGAGCGTATATATGTATAAAGCACATTAAAATATATATAAAAACTCTTAAGAGCACTCGAGTAGTCAAAATAAAACAGAGTGAAAGTTATAGATGAAGAGGAAGAAGAAAGCACACTTAAAAAAAGACAAACAGGAACGATACAAGTGGCACAGATGGATGGAGGGAAAGAGATTCCTACTTTTTTTGCACTCGTTTTTTTCATTTATATATAGATTTTTTTGTTTTTGTCTGCTTTTTTTTGTTTCGTGAAATGTCTTCATGCACAGATTATGTTCGTGTTAGTATGTTCGTCTTATCTTTCTGCTGCTCTGAGGTGCAGTGATGGCCGTGGCTGCTGCGGTTGTGTGATTGTTTGGCTGTTTTCGTCTTCCTCTACGTTTCTCTGACAGGTTGGAGAGGCGGACAGGGAGAGGACCCAGCGTTTGGTTGTCCTCCTCCTGCCGTTTGCGCCGTGCACAGGAGCGCCCCCTCCTGGGGATTCTCCTCATTGTACAGGCGCTTGATCCCATCGTAGTACTCGTCCACCTCCATTTGCTCCACCTTGCGCTTGGCTGAGCGGCTGTGGGTGCTGTTGGGGTCAGAGGGTGCAGTCGGGGCCAGGGAGACGTGCAGGACTCCCTCGTCCCGAGGCTCCGGTAGGGGACGGCAGATGTACACAGTGTTAGGAGGCAGGGAAGCCGTGTGTGTGGACAGGCAACGTGCGACTAGCTCTCGACAGCAGATCAGCTGAGAACTGTCGATCTGGAAGAGAAGAAGAAAGCTGTATTATATGCAAATGCAAGATGACATGAAACATTCGTGTGGTCAGGAAGGAGGCATTAACTCTTTCACGGCCAGTGCTTGTTTTATTTTTATTTATCTGGAAGCCACTGCAAACATTTTATGATGGATTTCATCGAAATTTGATGTCCCTAAGAATATTATCTGTAAAAAAAACAAGCACACACAGAAAACACACACACTAAACACTAGAACATACAAACACACACACACACACACACACACACACACACACACACACACACACACACCCAAACAATAAAACACAAATACAAACACATACACACACACAAAAAAATATGCAACCACAAACACAAAAACTAAAACATGAACACAAAAACAAATACACACACACACACACACACACACACAAACAAAAACATGAACAAAAACACAAACAAACAAACACACAAATATAAACACTAAAACATACACACATGCACACAAGAACTACAACATGAACACACAACAAACACTAAAACACAAATGCAAAAACAAACACACACAAAACATGAACACAAAAATGCAATCACACAAAAAACAAACATAAACACTAAAACAAACACACATAAAAACAGACACAAATACTAAAACAAACACAAAAGCACAAACACACATGCACACAAAAATTACAACATAAACACACACTAAAACACAAGTACGAAAACAAACACACACACACACACACACAACAAACACATGCAAAAACATGAACATAAAAACCCAATCACACAAAAAACACAAACACACAAATATAAACACTAAAACACACACACACACATAAAACACCAAACACACATGCACACAAAAACTACAACATGAACACACAACACACACACAAAAACACAAAAACAAACACACTAAAACACAAATACAAAAACAAACAAACACACACACAAAATGTATCCACAAACCAACACAAAAGCAGTAACACAAAAACACAAATACAAATAGTAACAAATGCACATGCATTAATAAACAAATATAAAAACAAACACACACATACACCCAAAATGTATCCACAAACAAATACAACAGTAACACAAACACACAAACCACACGCACACACAAAAAAACATGCACACACAAACGTACGCACACACAAACACACACAAAAAAATGCACATACACACAAATAAACACAAAAACTAAACCATGAACAAGAAACAAACAGACACTTAAAACCTCACGCAAAAACAAACACTAAAACACACAAATCAAACATTAACACAAATACACACATGAACACACACGCTCAAACACTAAAACAAACACAAAAGCACAAACAGACATGCACACACACAAACTAAAACGCGTACAAAAACAAACACACACAAACTGGTTCGAGCCTCGGCTGGGTCAGTTGGCATTTCTGTGTGGAGTCTGCATGTTCTCCCTGTGTTCGCGTGGGTTTCCTCTGGGTACTCTGATTTCCCCCACAAGGCCAAAGATATGCGGTACAGGGGAATTGGGTAAGCTAAATTGTCTGTAGTGTATGTGTGTGTATGGATGTTTCCCAGTGATGGTTTGCAGCTGGAAGGGCATCCGCTACGCAAACACATATCCTGGATAAGTTGGCGGTTCATTCCGCTGTGGCGACCCCAGATTAAAGGGACTAAGCCGAAAAGAAAACAAATGAATGAATGAATGAATAATATATAATACAGAGTTTTCAATATCACTGTTATGCCTGCATTTTATTTTTAAATATGAAAATAAATACAACATTATTATTAGTTAATTTTAGTAGCGTTTTTAACCTTATAACCATGATTAGAGGCTTGCCTTATTTATCATGTACAATTATATGATAGCTGTTCTGTTTTATGATGCGACTGTCATCATCAATCATCATTTTTCATTAGAAATATTACACACAATTTAAGAATCAATGATATTTTACATTATCTGCTTCACAGAGAAACTCCCATCATTTATTACAAGGACTTTTCTACTGAAAAATACAAAAAAAAAAAGGTTTTGCATTGATGCACAAAGGATTTTTTCCTCAACAATATAACCACAACTCATGCTTGAATATACCATAAATGTATGCTTAAAAAGCCTAAAGAAACTTAAATCATATTTTGTAGCCCTATATTAAACAACACTAATGCAAAACATTTTAAAACGGTACTATACACTGCCCCCTTTACATTTAAAGGTACACGAAATCAGAAACTAAGGGAATTATCCTGCGTTTGACACTCTTTACAGTAACATTGGAGACTTTTATTTTTAGTTTGTCTTTAACCTCACTGCTTGCATAGATAAGCGAGTTTGCATTGGAGAAGTGAATGACCGGGCCTCTTCTGAGTTATGATAAGAGCTAAAGAGCCGCCAGAAAGGCAAGCATGTGAGCCGGATTATACACGCTAATGCAGCTCTAGCGTATAGACTACGCAGAGGAGTTCATCAGATGAAAAGAGCCCCTGTAAACGAGGAATAATGAGCTAACTGGATCATCACAAAACACCACTGACACTGACGCTGAGACCCAACCGGCACTAAATCAAGTTTACAGATCAGTGTGGTCTTCCCATGTCATGCCTTCTGTCGGACTGCTTATAATTCAAAGTATGGCAAATCTTGTGTTGCACCAATGTTGATTTTTCATGGCAGATTCTGATTGGCAATAATCAACAAGCATTTCATTACACTCACCGGCCACTTTATTAGGTACACCTTACTTGTAATGGGTTGGACCCGCTTTTGCCTTCAGATCTGCCTTAATCCTTCAAGGCATATATTCAACAAGGTACTGGAAATATTCCTCAGAGACTCTGGTCCATATTGACATGATAGTATCACTCAGTTGCTGCAGATTTGTTGGCTGCACATCTATGATGCATTGAATTGCTGCCATGTGGTTGGCTGATTTGAAATGTGCGTTAACGAGCAGTGGGTGTACCTAATAAAGTGGTCGGTGAGTGTATATTATTATGGTTGGGTATTGTTTGGGGTCATTTCAATACTGGTGCTAAATCGATACTTTTAAAACAGTATTGGGGCCTGAACCAATACCTTTGAGCCACAAACTGATGGTAGATGACTTTTTATTTGCCCCCCAAAAAATGTTTTAATCATTTTAATTGAACAATATAATTAAAGTATACAACAATTCATATTTTATACATTTGAATTGCATTAAAATATTTTTTTTAATCATTAATAGTATGTCATCACAGTTTCTGCAGGTTTTAATATACAGTTGAGGCCAAAATCATTCGCCCTCCAGTGAATTCCCTTTCTTTTTCAAATATTTCCCAAATGATGTTTATCAGTGGAAGGAATTTTTCACAGCATTTCCTATAATGTTTTTGTTTTGAAGAAAGTCTTATTTGGTTTATTTCGGCTAGAATAAAAGCAGTTTTTAAATTTTTCAAAACAATTTTAAGATTAATATTATAAGCAGTCTTAAGTAATATTTTTTTAGATGGACTACAGAATAAACCACTGTTAAACAATGACTTGCCTAATTACCCTAACTTGCCTAATAAACCTAATTAAGCCTTTAAATGTCACTTTAAGCTGAATACTAGTTTCATTAAACTCATAGTGTCATTAAAACTATTATGTTTTTAAAAAGTGTTGAGACAATCTTCTTGCTGTAAAATAGAAATTAGGGGGAAGAAATATAAAGGGGGGAAGAATAATTCAGGAGGGCTAATAATACTGTCTTCGTTTGCATCTCTTTGGGGTGGACTAAAATGTACATTAAATTAAATGTGCATTGGACATTGTTCAAATTAAAATCTGTAGAATGTGAAAAGGTCGATGTTTACACTCAAATGCTCATCAAATTCACTTAATCATTCATCAAACTCTTAATCATACAACATTCGAACATAATTATTTAATCCAACTTCATCAGTTCTCACCTGCAATCTATGCAGCAGGTCGACAGTGAGAGCGAGCCAATCAGGGCAGAGTTTCTCCAGCTCCAGCGTGATGAGGCCGAGGGACAGCAAAGAGCCACGCACTTGCAGCAGCGCATTGTGGGCCAGACAGTGGAAGAGCTGCTGGGTGAGCAGAGCCACGTGGTGAGACGGGTTCAGACCCGACAGCGCCGCGCTCAGACGGCCCGACTTACAGCTCAGAACCATCGCATGGAACTGCAGAGAGAGAAAACGAATAAAATAAATAAATAAAAATCAATACATTTTTTAGATCTTAGCACTTAACCGGATGAATTGGCAGCCCTTCAGCACCCGCATGGAGAGCCAGGCTATTAACAGCCATCTGAATATGCCAACAAGCAGGATATGTCCTCAACACCCACGTCAGACATTAGATTTAGGCCATCTTAATTTATTTCTCCTCCTACACGCAGCGACATCCATCAGACAGTTTTTGTTATTCGACTTCAACAAATTTAGTCTGATGGGATTTGTTTGGAATAAATGCCATATATTCAAACAAAGGTGATATTCCAATGTCTGTGCATTTTCTCTAATTTGTATCAGTGCAAACACTATGAAATAGGGGCATGTTAGAGGAATCTTTACGATCTTGTGACTTTTATCCATTAAGACATTTCTGTTCCATGTGAGATTAATATTTCAATCATAATGTTCCATCATTTCATTCAGAAGTGGACTGAGGCCCATCTTAGGCCCAACCCCAATTTTACCCCTTAGCCCTTCCCCTTCCCCCTACCCCTCGTTTTGCGCATGCACGCCAAGGGGTAGGGGTGTCCCAATTCTCTTTAGCTTGAAGGCATAGGGCTAAGGGGAAGGGGTGAATAGCCCTTCGAACGAAGATTTTTCAGGACCACACTTGAAACCAAGGGGTAAGAAAATTTCCCAGAATACACCAGTTACAGCGGCAGTATTGCTGAACCCGGAAGTAAGCAGATCCACAAATTAGTATTTTTTTGTCATTATTACGAATTTGTACGACAAACAAACATGTGTTTTAAAATACTCACAACCGCGTTTGTGCCTAAAAACACACACACACACACACACACACACACACACACACACACACACACACACACACACACACACACACACACACACACACACACACAAAAAACAAAAAAAAAACTCTAAATTGCACGATCTATAATGCCCTATTAATAACTCCTGTACAGTAGTCCCACAGCATTCTGACACTTAAATACCCTGTCAGTAATGTCTAGTGGCTGTCAGTTGGCATTTTACAGTGTCTGCTATAATGTTAATGTTGTTTTTGGTGTGTTTACATTGATGAATATGGCCACTGTCTAACTACACAGTACAGATCTTATTGCCACATTAGATTCTTGTGATAACATACTATATGCCTTTAGTGATTTCCTGAAGACAAAAACTAATAAAAAACAAAACTGGAATCACTACAGCAGTCGCCATCGTCTGATCTCACATAAAGCAGGAGATCGCGAGGACATATGTTGACGTGTGCAGGTGGTGTAGTGTTGTCCCAATTCTTAGGGGTAAATTTTGAAGCCCTTCCCCTTATCCCTCAGCTAAGGGCCAAGAGGAAGGGGTAGGGGTACAAAAATAGAATTGGGATCGGGCCTTAGTTAAATTAACCACACTAACAGAGCAATCACAGTTTTAAATCGAGTTTACTTTAATCAAATCAAACCTGCCAAGTGTCTAAAGTGTCAACATCTAAAGTTAATGCTAATTTCAACCTTTAATAAAATTAAAGACTATAGCATACACAAGATGTGACACTTGTATAGTTTGAATGGGAAAAAGTGGAACAGTCAATATGTTGAATAAAACCCTCCCTACTAGTACTGGAGCCAGTCATTGATCGCTATAGACTGACGTATGCTTTTATGACAGTCTTTGTGGTCAACAAACACACTGGAATCTCAGAGAACCCTTGCTTCACAGACATACGAAATCACAAAAACCACACAAAGCTTGAAATCTGTACTTTTAAATGAATCAACTACACTTTAAAGCAAAAGTGTTTTGGTTTTGTAATCTGTATGAAACGAACGTGAGATACAGTCCGTCCTGTCAAACGCACATCACATGACAGCATCTACTGAAACGCCCACAAACTTGTAAACAAAGAGTCTCTGATATTTCTGAAGGAGATTCACTATCTAAATCAAGTTGTGGATTACTTCAGAAGAGCAGCATGATCAGAAAAAGCATGATCCAGAGGATAATAATGTGTAACACTGCCATAAATAAGGTTAGTGTCGTGATCTTGTTTTTTTTCGAGTGTGCATGTGCATTAGCTCAGGCAACCTCAATTTTGTTTGATTTGAACGTTTCGAAACGAAATTTATGAGACAGTTGTTACATTTTATTGGTGATTCCAAATATGTAATGTATTCGTAAGCTTTGCTAACGGTTTTAGAGAATTTGATGTTTCTTCATTCAGACAGAATGCCCGAGCATACTGCCCAAGAGGAGTTTCAAAGATGGCCGTCGAGTGAAATGAATTGCCTTAAAGGCACTTAGTCAAAATCCAAAAATTGCATCTGCAACTATTTAGTGGAAATAAGCAAACATGAACTAACAGCAGTTTTTTTTATTAACTAACAATAACAGATTAATATTGCCTGTATTACATTAATTGCCCATTGCTAGTATGCTTTTGTTAATGCATTAATAATGACTCCTACAGTAAAATGTTACCAGATTACTAAATGTTTACAAACGTTAAAATACAAAAAAAAAACCTGATCGCATACAGTATACGCTACAAAGAAGAGATTAAAACAGTCAATTTACTAGTTTTGATATAGAGAGTATTAGTTTTATGGCATTTCTACATTTGAAATGTTTCTTTTTATATATAAACTAGACATTTAGATGTGCTGTCCACACATTTTTTTTTACAGAAACTGAGAGAGAGCCCAGAATACAGCAATACAAAAATAGAAATGTCTACAAAGATCTGTACTCTTTGTTAGCATCATGAACGTTAATGTCCACTTTTAAGATTTTCAATGCGATCACAAGCGGCACAAATGCTTTTCTTACTTAGAGTTTTTAGTCTTGTTTCTTGTCCAAATATCTAAACATTTTTAAATCAAGAAAAGCAAAAAATACAGTCTTGTTTCAAGAAATAATGCCAAAAATAAGTGACTTTTTTTCTTAAAACAAGCAAAATAACCTGCTAATAGGGTTAGCAAAATAATACTGTTTTTCCTTTTGACATACAAATATTTTGCTTACACCATTGACAAATTATTTTGTTTGTTTTAAGGAAAAATTATATAATTTTGGCATTATTTCTTGAAACAAGACCGTATTTTTGCATAAACAGCAAAATTATAAGTGCAAGGCACTCCAAAAAAATAAAATATATTTTTGAATAATTTAAAAGCTTTTATTAACATGACTATTCCGTGAAAACTGCACCCAAGTGTTTCAGCAAACACTTTTCCTCATCAGGGTAACAGAGTTGAGGTGTGTCTGGAGTTCAAACTCTCCAAATGCTTCATAATTTAGGAATTTTTAGATATTTGGACTAGTCAAAAAAATCCAAGTAGGAAAAGTAGAGTGTAATGTTTCTGGGTTGACAACTCGTGATTGGGCCACTTGTGAATAGCATGTGAAAACTAGGCCTAATTGAGAGGAAGTACACTCACGATGTAGAGGAAGTCCAATGCAGTGGCAGAGTGCAGGTCCCAGTTCAGCTTATCCAGAACAATCCTCTCCATCCGCAAAATTTCAGATGGGGAACAGCCACATTTGCTGCTGGACGCCAGCTCTCTCAGAGACGGGATCCGCTGCAAAACAAGGTATAAACAAGGTTTATAATTGTGAGCACAGAAATTTTACAAACTGGAAAAAAGGTTTGAAATCTAATAGCCAAAAAATGAGAAAACTTTCAAAAAGAATTAAGTTCATTTGCCAGGTATAAGCCACATCACATGCTTACATCTAGCCAAAAATGACTTTAAAGGGCTGCCAGAAAATAATTGGATTAAATATATGTCCAGCTTTTAAGTGAGGAAATCTATTCCTGTAGATTCTTTTTCACTGTCTGTCCTTTCATGAAATGCATGAAGGAAATGTTTTATCAGCCGTCAGCCTTGGTTAAAGCACACTTTTTTTCCTTTTCTGATTTTAGCCTTTAATGACATTTATCAGCTTCTCCTGCTGACGTCAGAGATGTTCAGTCCAGGGTCACCGTTTCCCAAAGCAGAATTTAACTGAGACTATATAAATACATGCTGTCTATGAACATTGTTTGCCATCCTGTCAATTTTTATATTCATTTTCAAATGTTTCCCAAGTGTTTCTATTTTGAACATTGTAGATATTGTTTTGTAAAAATACAAGGGGTCAGACTTTATTTTAAAGGTGCAATTCTTGCCATTAACAAACCATTTACTATTACTTTTAGCTCAATACCAATACCAATTTGCTGATTGTTAATAGTTATTAAGGTAGTAGTTTGGATTAGGGATGTAGAATATGTACTTTTTAAGTATTAATAAACAGGGCCAGACAGAATCTACAGACATTTTTTGCTTTACTTTATTTAGGTTTAAATGCCATATTAGCAGCATTGGCTATATTCATGGCAAAAACATATACTAAATATACAATATATAATCATATCAGTTTCTTAACAAACATACATAAAAAAAAATACAAAAACATACAAATAGCAACAACACTGAAAACAGTCATAAACAGTCTTTTGGTTTGATTAAAGATAAATATTCTAAAATTGCTCCAGAAGGCACCTTTTCAACAATTCACTCAAAACATTTCCAGAATTTAAGCATTCTCTAATATCATTTAAAAATACACAATCTATTAAAATATGTTTTATCGTCAAAATATTCTTACACAAGTCACAAATGAGTTTTTCTTCCCCTTTCAATAAATATGCTTGTTTAAGTCTTTAGTGTAGACATTTCGGATCAGATTTTTTTAATCTGTGAATTTTTGTGAAATGATTATGAGAGTACAATAACTAAAAACTATCACTTTTATTTATTGTTTACAATGCAAATTCAATTACAACCACTAGTTTAGCAAAGAATTCAAGTCTTCTATATAATACATCACTTAAAAGATAGAAAATATTACTTTACAAACTGTATTGTACACAAATCCTATGCAAATTCGCATGATTCAATAATACTACTGAAATTAATGTAAAAATGGAATGAATATATTTTTACACACATTTTCATAAGTGAATAAATAGGCTTAATATTGGGCTAAACATCTCCAGGTGTAGAGTCTATGTAGGTCTACTAATAAACAATCAATATCTTAATAATAAGCAGGTAATAAACCCCTAGTTATTAGTAAGAATTGGTCCATATACTAAAGGTGATAATTCAGGTGTTGCTGATCCTTTCCCCTCTCTTTCTCTCTGTTGCCCATGCTTTCCTGTCTCCACTACACTGTCCTAATAAAATATGTTAAAAACCCTGAAAAAAATAGAGTAAATAAATACTAGTATTCAGCTTTAAAATGCCATTTAAACCAATTTGGTTAACCAGGCAAGTTAGGTTAATAAGGAAAGTCACTGGAGAACAGCGGTTTAATCTTAATATTTCTTAAGGAGCTCATAATATTGATCAGGTTTTTTTAAATGATGAAAAAAAGGAAATACTGTGAAAATGTCCTTGCTCTGTTAAACGTGTTTTGTTAAAAGCTGTACATTGATTAGCATATTAATACTGCGTTCACCTCATCTTCCTCACTGGTCTTAGCAGCCAGGAAGAAGCAAGAGATGGCGATACAGCGCAGGTACTTTGGCCGGGCCTGAAAAAGAAAGAGAGACTTATAAGTGATGGCACTGCAATACTGATCTCATGCGATGCTTATTATCATGCACACAGAGTTTGCCACAACGTTTAAGGGCAAATGTTTCACATGTACTTCCTGTGTTTATTTCCTGATCACTCAGATGGCAAAACACAAGAACTAATCTGATATGCTCTGACTGCATCTAAAAATACATCACAGTGCAGTTTCACTTTCATACAAGTACATCCTTTACAAATCTATCTTGTAAATTCAAATTATTAA